GTGAATCTGCTCCCCTGGCTGCAATCTCTGTTTCTGCTGTCATACAGTAGCTTATTCAGAGCAAGAACTAATATAACACAGTTGGAACCAAAGAGAAGCTGTGGTTTTGTGAAATTCAAGATCATTTTGCATTATTTTGTATAGTTCTTATCTTACCTGGTGTAAAACAAGAATGATATAGCTATTTTCTCATTGAAAGACAATCCAAAAATTGTTTCCCTCCACGGGAGCATCTGAGTCCACATATGAACCCAAGCACTCACGTGTGAACAAAGGCATTTTTACCATGCCTTGTATTTTTTATTTATTACTTAGCCATCCAAGTGGGAAGTAGAAACATCGCTGCAAGATTTGGCCAAATTTGTAGCCGGTGCAGACACTGGTGACATGCAGCAAATTGATGTAAATAATAAGGTTTTGCAAATTTTTCGCGCTAGATTTTTTTTTTTTTTACCATTTTTCTCATCACAATCTCATGTACTTAGAGACAGTATATGGAACTTTCTGATGTCAGTAGGGGAATTATGCCCTGCAGACTTTGGCTTCAGAACTAAACAGCTGTTTTGCATTTTCAGTAAACCCAATGACAAAATATGTTTCATGGAATCAACAGTAAAATCAGATTTTGCATACATTAAGGCTTTGTACTAGTCCTCCATTTCAGAGAGCATGGGAAAAATCTCAAAAGAAGGGTGTCAGCAATGCTTAGTGTGTGGAGGCATCCATTCTTTGCTGATAATACAGTTTAGTTTGTGTAGGGTAAAACTAGGCAGTCTTCTGGTCCATTGACATTGAGGGCACAAGCAGATGTTTTCCTTTCGCTATCAAACAGAGAGAACTTTGTCCTAAGAACAGATTTGTGGGTAATTAGGGACCTCATGTTCATTGGAAAAAAAAAAAAAAATTCTACCTACAACTCAGCTGCAGTAACAATTGTTTAGAAAACATATCTCAAAAACTTCTGCGCCAGTGGGCATTTCTTTGGTGAGAATATTCTGAACAGTAAATTGGTGCTTTCATCTGTTTTGTGCTTGAAAAAAATAGCAAAAGAATTTGAGGACTCCCTCTAGAATGACTTAAGATTCTAGATGATGGGAAATTATTCTAGAGAGGTGTTAACCAATCTCCTTTTTCAATTGCCTCCATCAAACTCAAAAGTTTGTGCCTGCGTTCCAAGTACTAGAACTTCAGCAGCTCAACAAAAAATAGTAAAGGTAATCAATGACTGCATTTTGCGTGCAGGAGAGCTGAGAAGGTAAATGTTAGTTGGTGGAATAAATTCTTGCTAATAATCCTTAGATCCATATGAAATATCTGAACAGTTTGATATATGTTTTAGTATGAGCAAGCTGAGTGTCTTTCATGTACTTGTGGAACACCTTTCTTTAAGATGTGTTATAACCAAATACATATTTCTATGTTCTAAAATCTACATTACAGGATTTCCCAGCTGTGCAGTTCTTTCTATGAGCTGCTAATTATATCTGGGATGCAGAGGCACCTGCCTTAAAGCTTGTCTGCTTAAGGGAATATGAAAGAAAAAAAATCTGCTATGTGTCTGCTGTGCATCACCATAGTTATAGCTATGTAAATCCTAACATGCATATTCTTTTCTTGCTTTATATTGTTTTTAAAACAGCAAACATTAATATAGAAGAATTCTTATTCTGCCTGCTAAATGTGTCTTGGTTACACATATTTTCAGTATAGTAGTAATACCACAGTAGATTTCTGTTAGTAAATTCTATGTGTAGACAAACCTTTGCACCTCACAACATGAAACTGGAGCTTTTGAAAATGTGAACTTGAAGTATGTGTGAACTCTAATCCACAAAGCCTAGAATTCAGTTATTCTGCCAAAGAATATGTTGTTTTGCTAATATAAAAGTAAAAAAAAAAAACAACTGTCCAGCATTTTTGTATTTTATTTATCCCAGGAGGAGTTGCCTACAATTGCCTCCTTCTCAAAGTTTTCTTTGGCATTTAAATGAGCAGTAGTGTGTTCTTCCTGTGCAGAGTCAGGCAGATGGGAACCTGGAATCCAGAAGTGATCTCTGGCTTGCAGAAACTATTAAGGAACCAAAAATATTGGCAAGGCACTTAAGTATAGAGGAAGGCAGTGCTTCTGGTGATGTTCTGAGTAAATGGGGATGCTGACCACCAGTGTCCTCCATGATGTAGTCTTTTCCATAGCTTACTTACTAGGCAAAAAGTTTTCAGAATAGCTGCCTGAATCATGCCTGAAGTTCGGGGACTAGAACTAGCATGTTTGCAGAGCAAAATGAACAAAAGTAAACATAGTCTTAAAAATGCTCAGTGGTGTTTGTGTTGATGAGTTTTAAGTATCAGCTGTAATACTGCAGCAGGTGTAACAAAACAGAAATGCATGATATTATGGTACATCATTCTGCAATATGACTGAATGAGCATTGTATCAGATTTTAGGACATTCTCTAATAGGGATGTATACATCAGTACTGTGGAAATCAATCCCACTGTGTCAGTTAAATATAAAGGGCACTGCATAAGAGATTTGGATGGCACATCTTTGTTCTGCAACTGCAGGTTTTACAGCCTGTCTGAAACAGTTCTGGATGCATCAAGTGCAAACAAATTACACTGGGGAAACATGGAGTATGTAAGTGTCTGCCTTTCAGTTGGTGAAATTAAGGTGGTTAGGGTTAATTCTTGGAAGGCAGACGAGAGCAGGTTGTTACTTGCTAGATTATTGGAATGCGTGTTAGGGACCATCACATTTGACCAAGTAGGTATGTCCCGTATTTGAAAAGTTGAGAGTGTAACACAGTGTTCAGCAATATATGTATATATATGCTGTTTTCCTTAGACACAGATGTTGTGTGTTTTATCCAAAGATTAATAAGTTAGATGAGTAAGAATTTCCTACAGGATAAGATCAGGACATTAAGTTGAATATGTCTTGATTTTGTGTTGAAGCCTAGTGATGCTGCATCTTGGGATCCTCAGTATGAGAGACGTGGACATAATCAACAGGTCCAGCAAAGGGTCCTCTTAAGATATGGTGGATAAGAACTTGGAGCATCTCATACATACAGATTCTGCAAAACTGGAGAAGGAGGCTCAGGGGACGGAGTGAATACATGAAGGGACGGAGTGAAGGTGAAAGCAGACTGTTCAGTGGTACTTACTGAGCAGTCTATTCATTGTGCACAAACTGAAATACAAGAAACTCCATTTAAAAGTTTTTTTTTTTTTTTTCATTATTTTTAATGTGAGGGTGGTCAAATCCTAGAAATTGTGGAGCATTCATTCTTGGAGATGCTTAAAACGCAACTGGGCGTGACAATCAGCTCTGGCTGACCCTGATGGGGGCAAGGGGCTGCACTCAGCAGCTTCCAGAGATGGGAAAGTGTCATTGATGCATCAGGTATGCATCAGGTACCAAAGTGTGACTGGCATGGATTTTTGGAGCAGCATGCCATTACCATGAAACATACCTAATATGTGCTAATATGTGTCTTGTAGTGTGGTACGGGGGAAGTTGAGTAGGTGTGCTACAGAAACTGATAAACATGGTGTTGGTTAACACACTGAATGTGTCATACTAATTTGTTGCCAGTAGTTATTATTTTAGACAAATGATAGCAATATGGGATGATGCAGCCCAGGTGGCATACTGGTTATGTCAAACATAATGATGTATGGCAAGTAGCGTGTGGGATATGTCACACGCTTATCTGCCATACAAAGGACAAAGGTTTTGGCTCTAGGTACCACGTGAAGCAGCAGCCGCGAAAAGCACGATAGTTATCATACGTTTTGTCATGCCACCTGACGTTCACTGCTTAACCTGCAGCGTGCTGCCAGTACCCCGCAGTGCTAGGGTACAACTGGCACGTCCGCCCTGAGAGCAAGCAGCTGGAGCCGTGGAACACAGTAGCCTGGCTAGAAGTACCTCACATAGCTGCGGGAGAGGCTGGGCAGAGCCGCGCCACTACTGCCGGAGCCCTTTTTGTCTCGGCCCTGGTCTGGGCTGCAACGCTGCGAGCGCGCTTAGACCGCATTTCTGGCCTGGGGTAGACGTAAGCGTATCGAAGGGGAAGCCGCTTGCCGGAGGTGGTCGTCGCCGGGCCGCGGAAGCCGGGGGGCGGTGCGAATCGCCACAGGCGTGCCCGCCGGCGGGGCGGGGCGAAGGCCCCGCCGTGCGGGTGCGGCAACCGCAGTGGCGGCCGTTGCGCCTGTGGGGTGCGCGCGTGGCGATCGGCGGGAGCGCGCGGCCTGCGTTCCTGCCTCGCCCGCCTCCTCGCGGCGCCTCGCCTCACCCTTCTCTGTGCTTGTCCCGGCCGTACGCGGCCGTTAGCGCCGCCGCCGCTTCAATTTATCCGTCAGTCGGGCGGCGGGAGAGAGCGCGGGAGGCGCTGGCGCTCGCTCTTTGGCTGAAGCGGCGACCGCGGGGGCGGAGGTGCGGGGGATAGCCGGTCCGGGCCGTCCTCTCTCCCCAGCCGCGGGGAGGAGGGAGGCCGAGGAGGGAGAAGGCGGAGGCTGAGCCCACTCCCCTTTAGGTCCGCTCCTCTGAGTGACTGCTGTCCGCGAGGAGGGGGAGGAAGGGGCGAGTCTCTCTGCAGCCCTCATCGTGCCGCCGCCTGCCCAGGCCTCTGTTCGGCCCTGCGGGCGGCGCTGAAGCGGGCGTCGGCGGGGCGCGCGGGCCGCGTGAGCCCGGGCTCTGCAGCACACGGGGTGGGTGAGATGTCGGGCTGAGCGGATGTGAGCCCGGGGGTGGGGTCCTCTGTGTCTGGGGGGGTTGGGATCGTTCCGCCCGCCGCCTCGCGCAGCGCAGTGCCTGTGGTGATTGTGCATCCTGGGGCGCCGAAGCAGGCAGCACTTCGATCTGTCCGCGCCTTCCAACCGCGCCCGTTGCGGGCAGGCCAGCCGAGGCACCGGCTCGGTGGCTTCACGGCAGGGTCTTTCTGTGCGAGGTGGGTGGTTGCACCTCGTGCTTCCCCAGCTGTAAGGCGGCGCGGGTCCTGTGCACCGCGCTTTCTGTGGTCGGATCGTGCTCCGCATGTACGTGTTGGGGTAGGTCTGCTCTCGTCTTGCCTTCCTCTCAATGCTTGCACGCCCTTCTCTTGCACGCCTTGTGCGTGCACACACGCGCTGGTGTGTATAAAGCTGCCACTGAGGTGGGGCAAAAATCGCTCCCGTGTGCCCGAATGCGAAAATCTGCGTCTGTTGGGGACAGCTTTTCACGTGATTTAGGTGGGAGTGTGTGTCTGTCGTTGCGACTTAAAATGAAATCTTTACAACTAGGTTTCTTCTCTTTTTTAAAATGTTTTCTTTTTCTTTTCCTCTTACGTTTAAAGAACTAATTTTATGTTGGTGGTTTGACGGCTTAGGATCTACCAGGATATCCATCTTAAAAGTGTGCAACTGTTATGCTTTATTTCGGGAATTTAAACAGCTTATTAAACAGGATTATTCTTCTGCTCTGTAATGTACTTTTCTGCAGTCTTCATATTTGAATTCTAAATGATCTTCTGGGGGGTGGTGTTTAAAGATTCCCACAAATAAGCATGAATGTGTTTCTTAGATTTTAAAACAATTCTTCATGTTTTATGTGTAGATCCAGATTTATCTTTAAGTACACGTTCCTCAGTAAGTTAACAAACTGCTGAAGTTTATTAATTTTTTTTTCCTTCCCCATTAAAATGGGTGTGTGTGATATTGTATTTGTGGAAATTGTTTGAAGTTGCACATTTTGCCTAAGTGGTTAATCAGATCTTTTTCTTTTGGTTCTGCTTGTTGCCTTGCATAATGCCTTCTCTTCCTTTGAAATTTGTTTACTGTATGTCTTTGTATGTTTATGTCTAATAGGGATCTTTCTCTTTCTTTCCTAGGTGTCTGTGTCTTCAGACTAATTTAGGATATAGTCCTGAGAAAGTTGAGACACAAGGAATTACATACAGAACTACTACTTTCCACCAGTATTCTTTTTCCTCTTTCCTATCCCTCTTCTTCCATAGGGGAGTACAGCTTAGGATTTTAGGTCCATTCATCCCACAGAAATCTACCTTATTCCTTAAGGGATAGGCTAGACGTTGCCTGTTATAGTACCAGGAGAACGTTATTCGTTGCTTGCTGAGGGAGCTTTATTTGTATATTTGGAGTGCAGTGTAGAGAGGCATCCAGGAGGCTTCCTTGCCCTCCCTTTTTGAGTAATAGTGGATTCAGGAAAAGGGGTGCTTACGGAGACACGTGACCTCGTTAAAGGACCTGAGACTGAAGCAGCACTTGGCACACTGAAGGAAGCACCCGCTTATCTTTTGGCATCTTTTTTTGTCTGCTGCTGGTTCCTCACCCAATTTCGGGTAAGTCTTTTCAGTCCATTCATTGATGCAGTGCATGTCTCCCTTCCCCCACCACAGGCACTAGGAGAAGCATGCACAGACTGAGAGTAGGGTGGGGGAAGGGAGGAGGGCGAACAGGCTTGCAAACACAGATCAGGAGGAGCAGAGTGTGCGGTACCACACTGCAGAGGAACCTGGACAGAGATGGAAGAACCTCTCTTTCAGAAAAACAGCTGATGTGGGAGGAAATGTTTTATTTGCATGGATGTGTGCACACAGTGGAGGGGGGTGAAAAATCTGTGAGCCTGTTGTAAACAAAAAAACCAAACAACTAAGGTTGAAGTGGAGAGAGAGCTGTTCTTGACCACTGTTGACCAGCTGATGTTGCCCTGTGTAGTATAGAGGGAAGAGGGCAGATTATTCCTTGGAGATTAGGACACTGGGGTGTGTGAATGAAGAATGTTACCACCTACTTGCATGCTTGAACGTATGTGGGGAAAAGCTGGTGGTGTGGATGTCCACATTTTATAGGCAGTTGTGCCTAGAAGGATTGCTATGCTAGCATCTTTAACATTACCCAGTGCAAAGGTAGGGAAGAGCAGGTGAGCGCCACCATAAGGACTGCATTTGCCAGTCACGGGGAGTGGGGGATTGTGCTGAAAAAGAGTGAGAGTGATTAATACATTTCCGTATCCCATGACTCTTGCAGTCTACAAATCTGGCATGGGAAGGGAGGTGAATATGCCTAATGCTTTCAGGGTGGTGTGTTTGGGATTTACCTGCTTGCAGTGACTTTAAATTCTAGGGCATGTTCAGAGGGTGGATGATAATGCATCAGGGCTTGGTGAGTTGTACTGCAGCTGCTCAATATTTTATGTAAAATGCATTTAAAAAAATATGCTAGCTTTTCAGATTTTTCACTTTTAAAAATCGGTTCTCTCCAAAGATGCTCAAACAAGTATGTGGCATTTTTATGAAAACTAGTCTCTGGTAGGCAAAACAAGAATTTTTCTTGAGGTTGTCCTTAAGCATCACCATGGAGGAGCAGTGTCAGGAATAAATTGATTTACTTTGGGTTTGTTTTTACAAAGCAATTTTAGAAGTGGTTTAAGATGTTAGTCTTCTCTCTATATTCAACCATAAATATTTCTTCCTAAAGTGTTTAGATATTTTAGATAATTGTTATTCTGGTGTCTCTGTGGGGAACAGAATTAATTGTTCTTTATGCTTGAAAGAGATGTGAACCTGCTATCTCTATATACTCTATTCTCACTACAGTGAGATAGATGTTTATGACATGTGCAGCATCTGACCCATCATACAGTCCTTAGTTAACTAATTAACTGATCTATAAAGCTCACTCTGAAAGTAATGCCTCCTATTTATTTCTACGGAAACTCCAACAGATACAAAGAGCACAATAACATTATTTGATAGAGAAAATTCTTAGCTACAAAACACTTTTTCTACATCACAATTAGCTGCATTTTCAGCAGCAATGAACAGGAGCCTGCATGTAGCACTTGTAAAAATCTGCACCAGTGGAGGTTACCTGCTGTCACGACTGCTGAAGCACATTGCCCTGTGCCTCACTGTGCTGGCATCCACTCTCTGGTCTCCAGAAACATTCAGCAAGCAAGGAGTGTGTGTGTGTGTAATTTTTTCCACAAGGAAGAATTCAGTGACATACCTTTGCTTCATACATGTTTCCATGTCAGATGTCATTTTGACAGGCTGTCCCTCAGTTGCCGTCTGTTGCACAGCAACAAAATATAATGGAATATTTGAGGGAAAATTCAGCCTCTACTGCCATACCACTGCCGTCTGCCTCTGATATTGTGGGCCAACCTAATAAAATAAGAGGCATTACTTTCAAAATAGTCATAGGTGTATCTAACTTCTTCATTGTAATTGTACCTTGAGGTACCACCGTTAATGTAACTTAGGAGTATCAACTGTTCTAATGCCTTCATCATCTTCAGGTGTAGCCTTCTAAACAGCATTCTAGAAACTGCTGTAATGGTAGAGAAAATTGGTTTATTGAAAGTATGTGCACAGTTTCAATTCTTAGCTTATTCATGATAAAGTAAATAAGTAAATGATAAGTAAAGCAAAATTCCCTTTTCCAACTCAAATAATGCCATTCTGTGGGGGGGGAAAAAAAAAAAGCAATGAGGTGTGTGCATTAACGATAAATGTGAGACTGCACTGTTGTTTGTGGTGAGATGAGTGCTTGGAGTTAATTTTTTCCTTTTTCTCTGTTTCCTATGGCAGCCATGACTGTCACTTTTTGCTCTTCTCATCTTCCTTAAGATTTTTATTATGATCTAAAATATAGGGATTAGGTGTGCCTAATGGTATGCTAAATCTAAGATTATGGGTTTCAGCAGTTAGAAAGGTAAAACCTAATCTGTTAGCTGAACAGTGCTATGCTGTAGCTGAAGCCTAGAGTCTCAGACAAGGACTAAAAAAGAGGTGATTCTGGGAGGTGGTGGTGATAATAATTGTTCCAATAACTTGTTTCCCAGATCACTGTGTGCAATGGGAGAGAGCTACATCAGATAACAAGTTAAGTAGTTGAGATAGATAGTACTAAATAGCATTGATTTCTAATGATACAAAACATTTGTAATTCCCATAGGGAAGGAACAACCAAAGTTTATTAATATAGAAATGTATTGAGTATTTGTGTTTTGAATAGAAAGGACATAGAACAATCTTCTTGTTTAACTAGATACCTTGAACATCACACATTTATCAATAATGTATAAATGAATTAGTGTATCCTGACAATTGATTCCTTGTTTTACCTTTGGGGAAAAAAATGTCACGATCAAAAAGAAACTAGTACATTTTTTTTCTCCTTCAGCTTTTTGGTGTTGAAGGTAGCACAAGGACTAAATGGAACAGAGAAACCAAATCTCTAATTCCTGGAGACAGGTCTTAAGTATGTCTGTGTGAAGAAGAGACTCCTTCAAGGGAAAAAGAGTGGTTTTCAGTTTTCCAGCTCTGTTTGGACTGCTGATATGATTGGATGAATTCCTTACTATGTCAGTATGATATATTCTGCTATGATGCAAAGTAGAAAAGAAGCACGGTGACTGCTTTTGTCACAACAGCTGCAAAAGGTATATTACAGATTCAAGGAGTGCAGGAGGAAATACGTTTGCATGTGATGGGTAAAAGAAGAAACTGCTGTGTGAATGCCAGAATGAACTTCGCTTAAGCAGTGCAGCAATACTGCAGCTCAAAGTGGAGGTTCCATCAATTCTCTTCATAAATTGCTAAGAATCTGTTCCACTCAGCATCTCTCTGAAGCAGATGCAGCAGTGACTGCTTGGCTAGTCTTAGACACAGTTTGCTTTCTACTGTAGAACTTAGATGCCGCTGTTTTATTTATAATCTGTTTTATGCAGTTAAGTCTATTTTTTTTCTTGTTGTTTTTCATTTTCTAAATTTGTTAGTTACTGGAAGATAAAAGCATTTGAACTGTTCGTCTTGTAGAAGACATTTAAACATCTGCTCTTCCCTTTATATGTACTATGCTTACTTTGCAATTGATGTTCGCATGGATTAGAAAATATTTCATGCACACCCAACGTTGTATCAGGCTGTGGCTTTTAGATTGAGGTAGGTGAAGTTGGTTTTCGTGGAAAAAATAGTGGAGACCACATCCAGATCAAGAGCATAATTCTGTTGTGCATCTGACTATAAGGCCAGCTTTCTTCTTACAGACCATTTTCTTAAAAAATGTGGGAGGGATTTTTAGGAGGTTTAACCCAGTAGTGTAAACTGAAGATTTTGTGTTCCATGAAACTGCTACGAATTCAAAGTAGAGATTATAAGGACAGGCTGAAATTGGTAGAGACCATTTATAGGAACACAGAGGTGAGGTAAGATGAGGATATTTATCCTAGATCCACAGATGAGGATATTTATCCTAGTGGAAAAAAATTGGTGTTGGTTAAGAGGATGCTAAATTTAGGATTACTTGTTTCTGCTTTGACTAGTCTTATAGCTCGCTTTAAAGTGAATTTCTTAGTCTTTATCTGCAGGCTTAAGGTTGCTTCCTACCTGCCTTATGATGAAATAGGAGACTTAATATGTACATTTATTAAACTTCATAAGATTCACAAGAAGTGAGATAAAGTGTTAGGAGAGCGGTAAATACAAATCAAGGCATTTTGGATTGGCTTGCTTGTTTTAATAGGATAGTTAAGATAGCTGGATAAGTCTTCCTGATGCTGTAGCTCCTCAAAAAAATACTTGTAGGAAAGAGGCATATGCTGCTTTTTGTTTCATTCCCACCTTTCCTTACCCTCCCGCCCTCACTCCTGCTATTCCTTGAGCTCTCTCCCTCGTGGCTTCTTTCTCCCTTGCTTCCTCATTCCCTTGGTTCTGTCTTCCCTCACTCACTTTCTCCTTTTCCCCCCGTTTGCCCTTGCTTCCTCTGTGTTGTTACTTCCCTCCCTTCTAGTTTGTCTCTTTCTCTCTCCCTCCCTTGCCCCCTCCTTTCCTCACCCACTTTCCCTTGCCATCTCTCTCCCTCCCTCCCCCCCTTGTGTTTTGTCTCTCTTCCTTGCTCCCTCATGTTTCTTGTCTCACTCTCCCTTGCTCCCTCCTTCTCCCTTGCTCCTGCTGTTCCTTTCTCTCGCTCCCTCATGTTTTTTCTCTTCCTCCTGCCCTCATTTTTTTTTTTTGCCATTGAGCTTTTCCTCCCTCTCCTTGTTCCCCTCTCTCCCACTATCCCCTTTTTTCTCGATCCCTCTCTCCATGTTCTCCTTCCTCCCTCCAGCTCTCCTTTTTTTTCCTCCCTTGCTTTCACCCGCCCACCCCTTTTTGCTCGCCCACCTGCCTTCTTTTTTCTTCTCTCCCTCCTGTCTGCCTTCTCCTTTTTACCTCTCCCTGCCGCTCTCCCTGTTTTCCACTCTCATCCACCCTCCCTCCCACCTTCCATGTTTTTTGCTCTTGTCCAGCCTTCCTCCCTGTTTACCCTGTCCAGCCTTCCTCCCTTTTTCCTCTCCAGTCTCCCTCCCGCACCCCCAATTTCCTTCCTCTCTACCTCCTTCTCTTTTTTCCTCTTTTCCTCTCCTTCCCACTCTCATTTTTCCTTTCTCTCTCTCTCCCCCTACCACCTCTTTTTTTCTCTTTCCCTCCTGTCTGCCCTCCATTTCCCATTCTTGCCTGCTGTCACCCTATTCCTTTCTCACCCACCCTACACATTCCTTGATTTCTAGTCTCGCCTCCCCTTTCTCCTCCCCAGCTTCCTTCCCTTATTCATTTATTTCCCTCCTTCCTTCCCTCCATTTTCCTCTCTCCCTCCCTCCCTCTTCTTCCATCCCTCTCAGTTTTCCTCTCCCTTTGTTTTCCCCTCCCTGATTTCTCCTCTCCCTCCCTTGCTGTCTTCCTGATTTTCCCCTCTCCCTCCCTTGGTCCCTCCCTCCTTTACCCCTCTGCCTTCCTCTCCCTTTTCCCTTTCCTCACCTTCCTTTGTTTTCCTCTGTCCCCCCTCCCTCTCTCCATCCTTTCCTTCTCCCCTCATTTTTCTTTATCTCCTGCAGTCTCATCCATCCTTCCTTTTCTGCCCTCCTTTCCCTCTCTTTTTTCCCCCACGCCCTTCCTTCACACTTTCTGCTCTTACCTCCTCACCCTCTCCCCCCTAGTTTTCCCCGTCCTTCTATCACCCTCCCCCTCTCCCATTTTGCCTCTTTCTCCCGCTCTCCATTTCCCCACCCACCTCCGTGCTTTTGACCCTCTCTCATTTTTTTTTCTAACCCTTCTGCGTTGGTTTTTTTTTTTTTTTTTTTTTAAAGAAGGCATTGAAATGGTAGCCAGAGAGAGGTGATGGCGCTGTCTGTGTAGATTTTAGGACATACAGATGTGGCCACGTATAAGAGAGACTTAAGAAAAATGAGAGGAGGTCTGTGTTGGCAAAGAAATCAAGGCTTAATAGCAAGTGAAAATGGGGAGAACATTGTGGGTGAGAAAACTCTTAGCAATTTTAGTATCAGTACCAAGAGGAGAAAGAGAAAGGGGAAAAAACATACTGACCAGTAGACTTGATGATCTGTTATGGCTTCTGGTTTTTTTTTTTTTTTTTTTTTTTTTTTTTTTTTTTTTTTTTTAATAATCAGAAAATCTATCTAGTGTGTTTTCTATGTTCTCTCTGTTCTGTAGATTTTTTTCATGATGAGTTGTGCTATCCTGCTAGATACTGCTGCTTTTCAAAACAGAGATGGTAGGTTGTGCTGTTTTGTCTTGCCAGTTGTTGATGCAAAAATGAAATAAGGGTAGAAACCTTCTGAACTGTGTAGTAATGGTGCAGTTTTTGAAAAATATATCTTCTCCAAATTCTTACCTAACGATGTAGTAGTGCCAGAAAGTTTTCTGTGAACTACCATACTTAGAAAGCCAAAAAATGAGGCAGGATCTGTCAGTTATCTCCTGCTGCTAGCCCAAGACCCATCTTGCCTTTTTCGCTTTCAGCTGCTTTGAAGGAAAAAAATACCAAACAACTGTGATACAAAAGGTATGCTTTACAGACTATTCCCCCTTGTGCTCTTTTCCTTGGGAGGACCAAATACTCCTTATCCTGCTGTCATTTGAGCATCTTGCTTGCTCTCAAGGGCTGGTCTGCATTTGTGATTGCTTTTGTCTAGCTTCTGCTTTCTTTCAGTCTATTAGTAGGAAGAGCTTTTTTTTGCTTGGCTTTATTTTTGTTTCTAGTTCAGCAAAGCTGTGGAAAACTAGTTGTGGAGTATGCAGAGATTGCTTTTTGCCATTGTGATTCTTGGTACTAGGAATAAAAGTGACCACTTAAAACTTTTTTTTTTCTTCATTGTTGTTTAAGAAATAGGTTTGCTAGTAGAGAAAAAGAATGTATTTTTGAATTTAAAAATGAATCTCTTCTTGTGATTGTAGAAATGACCCTTTTGCCTCAATACCTGCTGCAGAAGCTTCATGTGTGAACAACAGAAAAAATACCTACTAGAAACTCTTTGAAATACTAAGTGAAGGTAGTTGTATACCTGAGGTCTTGTCTGTGCTTGTATCTTCTGATACCATGTCCTGTCATTAGGACTACCAGGAAATTGCCTGTTTTGGTCTCACAGTTCAATTCTGTTTAAAAATCAGGTAAAACGTATTGGTGAAAAAAGTGTTTTTTCTCTCTTCATTTAGCAGGAAGATTTAAAATGTGTGGCAGAAAACAGCTCTGGTTTTCTCCAGAATTCTTTTTCTCTATGCCATGCTGCTTCCTGGTTGTTGTTTTGTTGCTTGTTTCCTTGCTTAATGCAAACATTTGGGGTTTTTTTGGGTCCGTTAATATACCTTTAGTTGTTTTACAGCTCTTAAAATATTTTCAAATATAATAAAAAAAAAGCAACACAAATCCTCGATTCAAATCAAGGGACACGCCACCGTGCAGTTTATCATTTCTAACATAATTGAAGTTCTCTAATTTGAAGCATGCTTTGTATATTTGTAAGTGCTGTTTATTTGTAAAGGTTGTTTTCCCTTTTGTAGATACAATCTTTAATTTTGCTTTTAGGTATGTATATTAGTGTTTAATATTCTTATAATTATATTGATGCTCCTTGTTCCATTGGCTCTCCAGTAATGTTCTGACTAACATCAAATGTATTTCTCAGTAGATGTGAAATATTTGTAAGAGTGAATCCATCTTGAAATAATACCATGGAAGTTACTGTTTTAATGCACTTTTGTCTGGGATATTTTCCTATTATAAAGATTTGGTGTAATCTGTCTTCTGTATACTGTGAAAGGATGTATCAGTTCTGCCACAGGTGTTTTAATGGTACTTAGGGAAGCACTGAGCTATTTACAGTTGTAAGGAATTACTCTAAAAGGTGGAATTCTTGCCTTCAAAGATGGCCATTCAAAATGTTTTCATGCCTCAGTACTGTCAGGAAAGAAGAATGGCACTGCTGCTACCAGTAATTGTCAAAATGTGTATTTACTATGGATGAAACTAGGGTAGGAGCTGAGGTTAGCATTTAGTAAGTAGCACTGAATGTAAATGGATTTATTTCTGTTGTTACTTCAATTACAGATTAGGCATAGACATTTTTTTCCACTTGGAGGTTGTGAGTCTTTTGAAAAGGACTGACTTGTACAAAAACGATAGAACTCAGGACAGTGGGGAACATGGGGAATAGGAACCTGTGTACTCTAACAGTCTCATCTTCTCCACCATCTAGAAGTTCCATTGAAAAGAAACCTTGAAGGTTGCAAGAACAGTCCACGATGTGCAGTTCAGTTGCTCCCAGATTGTGGTTCTTAACAGACCGTCGCATCAGAGAAGATTACCCTCAGCAGGAGATCCTGAGAGCGTTGAAGGCCAAGTGCTGTGAAGAAGAGCTGGATTTCCGGGCCTTGCTGATGGATGAAGTGGTGCTGACAGTCGAGGATGGAAATCTTGGTGAGGATAAGCTAAGGCTGGGAATGTGCTGAACGGGTGCTTACAAAAAGATTTAATATGGAACGTGTACTTTTTGATAATGAATTCTGTGTGTGCCAGGCTACCTATATGTTATCTAAATAATGCAGATACACAGGATACCATATTCTTCAGCATTAATTGTGATAGTCAAATATATTAACTTTGCCTGTTTGCTTTAGAAGTGCATTTGCCTTCCCTTTTTAGAACAGAGAAAAGGTTTGCTTTAGCTGATTAATTCCTGGATAAGGACTATAAAGTTTTCAAACTGAGACAAAATTGCTGAGTTTTATTTTTGTGTGGATACTTTTAATTTCATTAATCATACTTTAAGAGGTTTAGGTAACTTTTTTTTCTTTGGTTTATGTTCTGGCTCCAAGTTACCAGTCACATTTGAAATAAAAGGGATTTTCAGCGGACAGTACAAATTGTTAGGGAACTGGAAGTAGTAATTTGATATAACCAAGCATTGCTACTTTGCGGGTGTGTATTTAGAAAAGGACACTGAAATAGACAGTATGTGCCTCAGAATAATTTGAACCGTTATTTCGACTTACAGTTTTAAGCTGAATTATAACACTTCTATTTTACTATTAGCTTGTTTCTCCTGAGGTAATTAAAAATGAAAAGTAAAGCATCAAGGTGTGTTAAAAGTGTTTAAGTAATCTGATTTTTTTTCAGCTTATGAATTTATGTTATAGGTAGAAAAATAATGCCATTGTCAAACTGTGTAATGCTGTATTTTTACAGCTTTTTAGTTTGGATTTCCAATAGGAAGGAGAATGCAATGTTCTTGCATCCATACCTTTTCCATTCCTCTTCACTGTATATCACTCAAGGGAGAGAGGAAGGACTTACATTCCTGCAGGTTGTGTTAGGATTCTGTGTAGGAAGAAAATATGCAGGTATTCAGCAGTGAAGAAGAGGTTGCCACATTACTGTATGCCTTGTTCCTTGTTGAGGAATTTTTATAGGAGGGAAATCTTGAATTGGCTTTGGGGAAGAACTTTGGTCAGCATTTGTACTGTAACGTGAATCAGTCGAGCATAAAACAGAAATGCTTGAGGAAATGGGATTTTTAATTCTTCCATTACTAAACATTCATTTTGTTACTTTGAATGTTGTTATTTTTGTTAATTTATCTATTACTGTGAAATGTCTGTGATTTTTTTATTGGAGACTTGAAATTCTGCAGGATGTCTACAAATCAGAGAAACTTCTTGTCAGAAAGTCTGAACATTTTTTTGCCTAGAGTATGCTGTTGATTGGACAGTATGTTCTGTTAAGGCAGTCATCCAGAAATGTGGCTGCAGTCTTTTAAAACTCATGGTAGATCCTTCAGCTTTTCAGTATTGTTTATTATTTCCTGTCCTCTGCCTGTATTGGGAGAATTAAATATGTCAAGCATGAACTGTGGGCCTTTCTGCTCTCTTCCATGTAATGTTGCAAGAAGAAAAGATAAAGTATGCAAGCTGGAGTTGCTGAGAAACATATAGTACAAGAATGGGAAAAATTAAAGAAATGACTTGAGAGAGAATGCAGAAAAAGGAAATTATTTTCATTCAAAGTGTTCATTCAAAACTGTGTAAGTAACTAAATTTTTTCAAAAGGAGTGAGATAAAAATGCAGAAAAACTGTGCATAGAAATTTCCTTATGTTTGATCTGGCCTGGCTCACTGTGGAGTTTTTCTTTTTTTTTTTTTTTTTCCTTCCTGCTTGAGAGAGATGAAAAATTGTGCCCCTTAATTTTCCAGTTTTCTTTTTCCCAATGTTTGTCCATGATTATAGATACAGATTTCTGCTTGAGGACACATGCAGATGTTTTGTTTCATTTTCTTCATAATAAACTGGTCTGTTGGCCTAGAATAAAAGGTGCCTTATAACAAAGTTGAGGAGGTAATGCATTCTGCACCCTTTTTTTGATCCCTTTTTTGAGGGATCCAGGTTGCTTGAAAGTTTATGTAACACAAACAACCTCATGAGGAGCCTGTATCTTCAGTGGATAATACCTGCTTTTTCTCTAAGTTTTCTTGTTATTTATGTTAAAAGTTTGGCAGTAGAGGGCTTGGACTTAGAGGATAATAAATACATGCAGAAGAAGTCCTCTATACTCTGCCCTTGTGAGGCCCCATCTGGAGTACTGTGTCAAGGTCTGAGGCCCCCAATACAGGAAAGATGTGGAACTGTTGGAGAGGGTCCAGAGGAAGGACATGAAGATGATCAGAGGGCTGGAGCATCTCCCTATGAAGACAGGCTGAGGGAGCTGGGTTTTTTCAGCCAGGAGAAGAGAAGGCTGTAAGCGGATGTCATTGCCCTTTCCAGTATTTGAAAGGGGATTATAAACAGACAAGGAATCAACTTTTTACTGAATGGTTTTAAGGTAAAAAAGGGAAGGTTTAGATTGGATATTATGGAGAAGTTCTTTACTGAGAGATCAGTGAGGTGCTGGAACAGGCTGCCCAAAGAGGTTGTGAATGCTCTGTTCCTGGAGGTGCTCAAGACCAGATTGGATGGGGCCCTGGGCAGCCTAGTCTAATACCAGATCTGCAGGTTGGTGGCTCTGCTTTTGTTAGGAGGTTTGGAACTTGATGATCCTTGGAGTCCCTTCCAACCCAAGTCATTCTATGTTTCTGTGATTCTATGAAGTAATAGATTTTTACATACTCAGATCTGTGATTTGGACCTTTAGAATCTAGACAATTTCTTAATTGTTAAAAGAATATGAACTTTGCAAAGACAAGTTGAAAAAGAAAGTTGGCTATTTAAAACTTCAGCATGAGGTATTTTGTATGAAATATCACCAGTGATATTTTTGTGTAGTCTTGCTGATTGTTGGGATAATGGATAAAGAGGCCAAAAATTCAGCATAGTGCTTTAATAAGCTTGAAATCATTTGCTTCATAGAGGGATTGTGGTAAATATACTTCTTAACTTACAAAGTGTTAGTAGAACAGTGGGACATGTGCTGAGACTAAAGACTTGTATTAAGTAGGTAGCGTATGCCTTGGCAGTAGAGATTGTTGAGGTAAATATCACTGGAGCCGAGAGACAAAAGTCTGTAAAACTTCAGCAACTCTGACTCTTCCAGAATCTGCGTATGTCAGAAAATGATAATATTTACCAGGTATTCAATCCAGTAAGCAATCACAGCAGTAGTGACTCAGTCACTACCTTACAGTGTTGTGTGGCTGGATACCCAAGTAGGTCAGCATTGCATGTCTAGCATGCTCTGCAGGTTCCTTCTGCAGATAAAAGCTGGGATTTCCCAGCATCTCTAGCACCTCCCTGTTCTACTGGCTACATTATGAACCTTTAACACCAGAGTCCCTGTGAGTCTTCTGGTGATCTGTGTGCAGCTTCAGATCTGCATGTTAGGAGCCTCAGTACTGCAGGAATCCAGAAATGATTGTAAATGCAAGTTAGGAAGTGTAGAATTAGTTTCTCCTTTGTGTTCAGAAGGAAACACTTAAATGTTACCAAAAAGGTAGTGTAATTGAGCTTAAGTTAAATAAGACAAAAGCCATAGACACTTTCAAAAGTGATCCTAGTAAGTGCTTCTTCTTGCTAGCTTACTCAAGTTGTGCAGTCTTACTTCCTTTCCATATCTCTAAGGCAGGAACTCAGTGGAAAATTCCAGCTGCATAAAACAATGAATGTTTTTATTTGGTGGGCTGAACCTGCTGAAATGGGTACTGACTCAAATACACAGCACTGATGCGCAGGAAGGGGGCAAAAGTAGATGAATGGGTAGAACAGGAGGGTGGTATTGCAGCTGATTTGATTTAGACAGGCTCAGAATATGTCTCCTAAGAACCAAATTCTAAGCTAGTGTAATGATAATTCTACTGTTGAATGGAGTAGTTTCTTTCAGCCTTGGTCGTGCTGCTCGTCTTTGGGCTTCCTTTCACGCCTTACATGAACTCATCTAACACAAAAAAAAGGTTGACCTAATACTCTACTCTTTTTTAGGATCTGGCATTTGTGGAAGTTGAATGGACTAGTGCAGTCAAACACTATCAACTCTGCTCAACTGATTAACAGGTTTCTGCTGGAATAGCTCTGTACATTTTGTAGTAACAGAATTGCTACCTCTAATGCTCAGAGCAGAGAACAAGTCTCTTCTTTTAGGCAGTGTCTCATATTTAGGTGAATATAAGTAAACATTCAAAGCATGCTTTAAAGCACAAATTCTCTTATGGGCAGGATATTTGATAGCATCAATTTAATTTTGTTTTTTGTTTGGTGTGTTCCTTTGAAGCATTTGCTGTTTACTGCTGTAAGGAAAAGACTAAGTTATTAAATTAGATCGCTTGTACTCTAGTCTAGTTTAGCAGTTCCTGTATTAATTTGAAAAAAGTAGTAGTAGGCAATTTATCAAATTTAGTGTGACATTTTCAGACACACATCTTAAATCCTGTTAAAATGTGTAATTTTGAAATTCATATTTGTTTGCTAGCGTAGTGGTACCCACGGTCTTGGGGAATTCAGATCTAGAAGGACCAAAGCTTGTGAAGAGTAGTGTGTGGTAAATGTGTTAAATCCAGCTGGCGCCCAGTCACAAATGGAGCTCACCGGGGGTCAGTATTTGGGCCTTCCTGTTTCATATTCTTGTTGATGACCTGTACCCTCAGTAATTTTGCAGATGACAGTAAACTGGGAGGAAGAATTGATCTGCCTGGGGGTAGGAATGTCATCCAGAGGGATCTGGACACTCTGGATTGCTGGGCTGAGGTGATGGTATCAAAAATGGTGTTGCTAGTGGGAGCAGGGAAGTGATCATCCCCCTGTGCTCAGCTCTGATGAGGCTGCATGTTGAGTACTGTATTCAGTTTGGAGCCTATCACTGCAAGAAAGACACCAAGGCGATGGTGTCCAGAGAAGCACAACAAAACGGGTTAGGGGTCTGGAGAGCAAGTCTTATGAGGAGTGGCTGAGAGAACTGGGATTGTTCAGTCTGGAGAAGAAAAGGCTCAGGGGGAGTG